CCTAAATTATGAATGGGAATTTTTATTTCAAAATATTTGCTTTACACAGTGAAAGTATTGCCTACCTTGTGAAAAAATACTGTCTCCAAGAGATTAATAATTGAAGCTTCATGGCGCAGCTGAATCAGAGAGAATGTAAGAAAGCAGAAATTAATACAAATACTATCATTCTCAGAAAACAGGGTAATGTGGAATCAGAAATTAAAAGTATTTTGTGCCTTCTTTTAATAAATGCTACTAGGACGCATACAGCTAAAAACAGTGAGAGCATTAGACCATCTCACAAACTATAGCTGAACATGATGTGAACAGCATTTCCCCTTCCTCTCCTGTCACAGTATGAGGAAGAACTCAGAACTATTCCCTTGTTCTGAGCTTGTTGTGCTATCCAAACAGAGTGCACTTAATGTTTTTTGCTTTGTCCAAAACCAGCCAACCTGTATTATATATTGTAATTCAATGTGTAAACTGATTTTTTATTATCTGAAGGGGTGCTCTCTTTCAATTTCTCATGTTTTGACAACATTATTATCTTTTACAGAAATTTACTGAAAATAATTTGCAACATAATGTAGAATTGCTGCTGTTTGTAAGATTTATATCCTTCTTTCTTTGAGGATCTCAATGTGAGTTACACAGCACTCCTTTCTCCAATTTTTCACAGCAAAAATCCCATGAGATAGGTTGCACCGAGAAAGAAAGAGACAGGCCCAAAGTCACATAAACTTCCAGAGCTAACACTGGGTCTCACTATTCTTAATCCAATACCCTAACCCCCATACCTCACTAGCTCTTAGAAAAACTAAGATATACATTATCCTAACAGATAAATATCTGAAGCATCATTTGGTAAGTAGACGTTACAGAAAGCTTTGAAATGTTCTCATACCAAAAGTTTTACAAGGGCTGAGTCAAAGCATCTTTCATACATACCACTAAATACAAGGGAAAGGTGCTTTTGGGGTTGAAATCCTCCAGTTTGCACAGTATAGGGAAGATTTTTTGCTTCCAGATGGCCACAGTAATTAATTCTTCAATGAGAGTTGGGATCTATACAAAATGGATAGTTTAAATATACAGTCTGCAAGGCTGAGATCATAAATAACAGGAAACATGTCAGACTTGGGAAAGTTCTGTCTGATGGCTGGATTCACAGAGATAAATTAATTGCAGGCAGAAGACTTTCTCATTTTACTTCCATTTCTGTACCCAGGAAGACAAGAAATATTATTTGTAACAACAATGGGAACATATTTTGCTTTGTAAGGTATACATATCCGTATTTCTCTTACACTCTCACCCTATGCATGCTCTTACTAGATTTGCTTAGTCCTGTTGTTTTCTTCAGTAGGGTTATAGCTTAGGTGTATAGTCAAAACCATTTATTTCAGATTAGTTGTTTCCTAATAATCTAACCACAGGGCTGTAGTTAAATCAGGAAATTGACAAAGTGCTAATGAAGCATATTGTTTCTATCATGCCAATGAATTCATACAACTAGAGCAAAAGTTTTATCAGTATATGTGCTTATATGGTTACAGTAAGACTAACAATTTATCTGGAAAGTAATTGTATAAAGCTATGCATTTCTAAATATAAATATTGCCTAGTACACAAACAATAAAGGGGAGATATTTTGAGCCATCTCACAAAAGTGCCAAATCAAGTTCATATTTGTTCAGGTTAATGTAGCCTTTGTCATAATTAATGATTTTCTTGTGACTCAATAGCTGAATTCATTATACCTTGGCATTATTCACCAGAAGCTCAGTAAGGAGCTGCTCATGGCCTGCAGAAGCATTCAGTATGGCTTGCATGTTCAGCTTTTCAATGAACTCATGTTGCCGTAGCCACCTAGAAAGTAGGGTAAAAGCAGCATTCAGTTCCTATCTCTGACTGGTATACCAATATTTCCCTACAACCACTATTGCAACCACATTACATAATTCAAGCTAATATTATCCTGGCTAGACGAGTTTTTCCCTGCCAATTTTTTTAAAAAAATCACCTATATTACATGCTTCAGTTTAATCTGATTATGAGAAGATCTCAAAGGCAACTCCTTGCCTTGCTAGGAGTCAGAGATTATATTTCCTTAGTGGAGAACTAACAGAGATCGCTCTTCACTCTCTTTGGAGGGAATTTTTCTGCTAATAAGCATACAAACATTGTTTCAGAATAATTCAATGATATCCCTCTGCCAACGGAATGGGCAGTAGTAATGGAATTGGTCTACTACCCTCTCTGCCCTGTAAGACCTTTTGGTCTAAACCTCTTTCTGAAGCTGAATTGGGAAATGATGATTGTGCAGGAGAAGACTAGGAAAGAAAGATCTCAGAGCAAGTAAATGTCTGCTCATGTGATATGGGATGAAAACACACTTTTTAGAAGAGAAAGAGCAAACAAAACTGTGAATTTAGGTTAATAAGCAGCAGCTATTGTAGTCATAGGAAATCTAGAAGTCCACAAAGATGTTGGCCTATGATGCACCATTTTGCCCAGTTAAAGGTTACAAACAAACAGACATGAGAGTTTTAGTAGTAAATAGATGTCTGACTGCTTAGCTTTTTGAGATAATCCAAGGTCAATTTGGTGCCGTAGGATTACATTTCTTTCTGAACCCTCCAGAGAATTATCCCAATTCTTTTCACAAGAGTTTATTAAATGCTGTTTATCCCAGGACAACCAGTAGTCACCAGTCATGAAGGATCCTTGGAAAGGCCAATACATTTCTGATAGTTCAGTTTTGGGACCTGGTTTGAAGCTTGCAGTTTCAGCAGACAAATTTCTTACCTTTTCCTCTTCTATTAGAATATAAATATTGAATATCCTTATCACCTCTTTCCTTGTCCACTCATATTTACAACCGCAATTAATGGAACGGATATAAAAGTGGGTTTGCCCCCCACATTTTGACCCTGCCTTTAGGTGGAATGGCAGTTCTGAGCCGAATGTCTTACCAGCCGCCCCTACCACCTCCCCTCAAGGCTCCTATGCTTGTACTTTCCCTCATCCGATACGCTCAAATACATGGAAAAACATGACAGACGTCTTTTGAAAATATCAACTGCCCGCCATCAGGCAGAAACTTAACAATTTTTTTTTTTTTGCAAGGACATCTCTTCAATTTCTGTTCAAGCTCCGTTCAAAAGGAAAAGAATCAGCGGGGGCGACTGCTCGAGGATTAAGGAACGGTGGTCCGGAGCCCCGGCTGACGTTCACCCCCAAGGCAAACCCGAAACCTGCTGCCGCGTGTTTCCCTCTGCGGCTCCTACGTCTCCTCTTCGCCCCCACTTCGCCCCCTCCCCCCGTACCCATGGCTCCCGATATCCCTCAGCTGGAAATTCTTGAGCGAGTCCACCAAAGCTTCGGCTTCGCCGGGCATCAGAACCGCGGGGAAGGGGTCCTCCATGGCGCCTCCCGAGCAGCTCAAGGCCTGACGCCGTTGTCATGGAGACGAGAGCGTGCTCCTGGGACGCTCCTCCCTCTAGCGACAGCCTCCAGCACTGCAGCTCCCCACTGCGGGCTGGATGTAGGGCGTTGAGAGCGTGTCCGCCGGGAGTTTCATAGGGTGGGTTCACTCAACATGCTGACCCATGAACTCATAACACAGAGACATTTGGGGCGGGGGCAGAAAGTCTCCCACAAGTCAAGCTTGTCTCCTAATGATTTCATGGACACATTTATGTCTACCCTTGCCTTCTTCAAGGATGTCTTTTGACTTCTGGGGAATTCTGGGAGTTGAAGTCCACACTTCTTAAAGTTACCAAGCTTGAGAAACGCTGGCCTAGAGCCTAGAAGAGCCTAGTGGTCCCCATCCAAGCATTAACCAAGCCCAAATTTATTTAGGGTGTTTTTTTTAAAAAGCTAAATAAGGTGCATTACCCACACCTAACTGATCTTGTACAACAAAAGTAAAGTACAGACTATTTAACCACATTCTAGCCTAGCATATGTATTTATTATTTTATTTATTAAACTTGTCTCCGCCCATCTCCCCCCAATGGGGGACTCTGGGCGGCTCACAACATATTGAAACAATAAATAGATATACAATTAAAATCTATACCAGTACACATTTACAGAAATAAAAGGAAACATATGATGTCAATCTGACCGGAGTACTGACTGCTCACTGGTTACAAACAAGTAGGAGCTCTAATCTTGTTTTATGTACCTCTGCAAATAGAGTGCTGGTCTGGGTTAAGGAGAGCATATCCAAATCCCTCCATGAAATGTGTTTGATCTTCTGAAGCAATTTATTTGGTACCTAACTTGCATTAAAGGATTGTTCTGAACAAAAAAAAAAAAAATGCAGTAAGAGACAGGTCCTTAAAGGAAGAGATGAAACTGTAAATATGAATATAGATGTAAACAGGACTAAATAGAAAGGTGCCAGGTTTCACCTAAACTAGGAGTTTATACATCTTTAATGCCTGATGTACATAGCAGGGTGTTTTTTTAAAAATATTTTTTATCCCACCTTTATTATTTTTATAAATAACTCAAGGCAGCGAAGATACCTAATACTCCTTCCTCCTCCTATTTTCCTCACAACAACGGCCCTGTGAGGTGAGTTGGGCTGAGAGAGAGCGGCTGGCCCAAAGTCACCCAGCCGGCTTTTATGCCTAAGGGGAGATTAGAACTCACAGCCTCCTGGTGTCTAGCCTGGTGCCTTAATCACTAGACCAAACTGGTTCTTTTTAAAAAAAATTAGTTTTTAAATTCTTTTTTAAATTCTTGTAATTCTTGTAATTACAAGAATGCTAAAATACCCTTTTTATCCTCAAAGGCAGTTTTTAAAAATCAGAACACTCCCCTGGAAAGAAAAGGCTTCTCCCTTCTTGAAATGATAGCATATACTCAAAAGCCTTCCTTTATGTGCTCAGAATCTATTTACTACAAAAACATAAACCATCACATTGAGCTTTAACAAGCTGGCATATCAGTAAAGCAGGAAAAAAAAAGGTCAATTTGAGATACAATTTAGATTAAGAACTTTTTTCCTTCTTAAGTATTGTGGAGCCACTCTCCAAAATAAAAATGGCAAATCAAAGAATATGCATTTAAAACAATAATTTGCATCAGCTAAGATGTAGTCAGGCAGAAAATCTATCTATGTGGCCACTAAGAGTTGAAACCAACTTGATGGCACATAATCAATCAAGAACAATTTAATAGAATGAGGCAGTATTAGAATGCAAAAGGTTTGTAAAACTTTTTTTACAATATTATATATATTGTAATATTTAATATAATGTAAATAAATTTAATATAATGTAAATTTAATATTTAACATAATGTAAATAAATTTAAT